GTGTGTGTGTGTGTGTGTGTGTGTGTGTGTGTGTGTGTGTGTGTGTTCCTCTGTCTGTCTGGTCTGAACCTCTCAATGAGTGACAAATCAGAACTTACAATAAAAGATGGCACTTGGATTTGGAGCAGCAGAGAAATGTTTTTGTCCTGACAGGAAATTTACTTTCCCGTCCCAATGGAAAACTGTTTTTGGACTTCTTGTAACGTTTCAGCTCTCACTTTGGACTCTGGCGTCTCAGAGCAACAAATGAGCTGGTTTGCTCTCAGCCAGAAGAAACSGTCAGTAGATTATACATGGCAGTCCCCTTCATTCTACAACTTGTTGAAGAAAACATCAAGTTASCGTCCAGCAAAGGAATGGTGGAAGGAGCCCAGAAGCTAAATTAAACCAAAGAACTGTTTTTATATAAGACATTTTGACTTCTTGGTTTTGATTGCAATAAAAACGATTGCAAACGAACAAATAACACATCATCTTAGTTTATAATTTTACAAATACGCTCTGCCTTCAGCTTACATCTTCCAGTTTTTCATTCCTTTGATTTGCATCTTGAAATATCTTTTCAGCATTTTATTAGCATCAATAAAAATGCATACTTGAATATTTCATGCTATGAAGAATCCATCAATAATCTAGCCATTTTTATTCAAAAMATGATCAGAATGATCTTGTTTTAAYTAKGCACKYAAATTCTACAAAAGCCTGCCTTTAAAAACAGCTGTAGAGTTCATTAACACGACAAATTGTTTACTCTTTGTTGCTGTCCAGTAATCTTCAAATAAAGTTGAGTTTCTCATGAGCAGAGCATGCCGATGCAGAAACATGAATCCCTTATGACTGTGAATGCACCAGTAATGACACAGTTTTGTTAAACTACAACGATACAACCAAAATGACAAGCCAAAAAAACCCAACAGATCAGAAATGTGGCGAGGAACTCTCCTCGACAACTTCTGTGCACAAATCATACCATGAGGATACCAATCACGCCGGTTATATTAAATGTTCTGATCAATAAGCACTCAGAAGTCAACTCTACTTTATTACTTGTGTGCTCTCAAACACATCTCATAGTTACACAGCTGCAAAGTATATAATAATCTCACCAAAAATATGTAATAACGCCAGTTTTAATGTCCATCTATGGTCCCAGGGCAGGTAAACACAAAATATATGTATACAAATACAACCTAAGCAACACTAATTCTCCATTCCAATAACACAGACACACAACGCTCAACGAATAATCAAGATCAGGCTCTTCAGATTTCTACCCACTCTGTCATCATAATCCTGTTTGAAAGCTTTATTTAACATAAGTTAATAACTTTTACTTCCACAGTTATGACAGTGTGTTGACAAAATCTGTCCTCAGATGATAGGTGACTGCCAAAGTCCTTCAAACTAACTTTGTAGTAAGTTCTGCAAAAATGTGCATCTGTGGGYTTAAATTTGTGCACTCTGATGAACACACAAAATTATATTATTATGTTTACCTTACTGTGTTGTGCATTTGTTCAATTATTTTACAACTCTTCATTAGTCGGTTGTTTTGTTGTTGTTACATAATTAATTTTTGAATAGAAAAAAAGATGAGTAACTTAAGACTTGTGTTGCTTTCTTTGACAAACTACATACCACGATCAAATAAGATATCCATCACTGCAGAGGCAGGAAAACCTTAACCCGGCCATGAAATAACTGCTATTTAATGCAGTTCAATGTATAGTATGCACGTGGAACGCCTATTTACAGGTASTTAATGTATCTTAATTAATCACAAGCAGATGAAATCACACATTATTGTTATTAGCAAGCCTTAACTCAGAGATACATATATAATGCATGAATGTATACACTGATAAATGAGAATACCTGAGGTACCTACAGTTAACTTTGAAGGGGTTGTTCTGTTTTCGCCTGGACATAGTATTGTCCCCTTCCAGGATAAAATAAAAAAAATAAAAATGATGTCTCTCTGCATCCAGGTGTACTCCCAAATGAACGGACTTACAAACGAAATATTTTTTTGGGGGAAATAGGTAAACAAATCATCCACTCTGACAGATAAATGTCGGTCGTTTTTGGAGAAATAACAAAGGAAAAATCCAAAACGCGTATGTAAGTCACATATTTGTAGTTTTTTTTTAATAAAGTCCCGTCCCCAGCGGGGATAAAATGATGTCCAAACCCGAACAAGAGACGCCGAGCAGCGCCTAGCCGCTCMGTCGGCAGCCGCTCGCTCTCACAGCAGCAACGCACGAGCTCAGCTGATAGCTACAGGGCGGAAGCCGAATAGCATTGTGGGAAATGTAGTCTATAATGGTACTATGCCGACTTTATTACAAGGAAGGAAATAAATACATGATCAAATGTGACATGTGGTGGCAAAATGAGTTAAAAARAGGTATTTTTTTAATATCTTCATCTTAAAAGCTTCAAAATGGTACGCATTTTGTTTAGATTTGGTAATTTATTAACTGGAATGGCAAATTAGTTTTGTGTAGAGTGCCAGTTTGAAAACCTTTAATTTTAATTGGTCTAGATCAGTGTTTCCCAAAGTTGGGGTCGGGACCCAAAGTGGGGTCCCGAAAAATCAAGATGGG